CAGATCACACTAGTGATATGATCATTGATTCCTATATAAATCATAATGCTCAGATCTTAGCTGAAGTCACAGGTACCTTTGTTTTCTATATTCTTGCTGATTGTATTAATCATATCATATAGCACAATCCTTGAAGCATGCTCTAGATCCTGAAACCTCATACCTCCTTCATAATGAGTTTTTAAACTCGGTTGACTGTGCCTATCACCTTTATTATAAGGTCATTCTATGTCTTGGTTGCAAAACTGCTTGGTCCCCAGAAGCACTACAAGGTCACCTCATAACTCATCGTCTAATTCTTCCTGCCAATTTTCCAACACTGCTCTCGACCTTTCTCCTCACTCACCCAGTTACCCCACCAACTTCTGTCCCATTACCTAAATTTGGCGAACCTCCTGTTGAAGGTTTGGCCATTTTTGATGGCTTTGAGTGTTTTGATTGCTGCTATGCGGCCATTCAGCAAAAGTCAATGCGCAACCATTACAAAGTGGACCATCCTACTGAAGCACGAACTCATGGAGAAAAGAAGTGGACCAAAGTCAAAGTTCAAACCTTTTTCAATCCTGTACCTCGACGATACTTTACAGTCAATCCTTCGCTCCTCAATGTGGCTTCTGACACTGCTTATTCGGTTTTTATCCGTGACATTCTACCAACCATTGAACCTGTCTTTCAACCTGTGCCACAAAATCCTCACCATCTCACACCACTTGTTCAAATGACTGGTTGGGCTGACTATCTTGACGAGTTGGACTTGTTAAAGTCTTGTCGTGCCATCCGCGATCTGGTATCATTCACTCAACTTCCTACTGCCAAAGAACCTGTGCTTCAGGAACTTGAAGATTGGGTGTGGCACTACATCACATGGATTCATGACAGCTATGTTACCAAGGCCCCATATTTGGTTCGACGTATGATTCTTCATTGTCCAATGTAAGTGTAATATTGTATGTTTTCACTTCAAGTATCTAACACCCTGTTATGTTGATATAGTGATGAATCCAATGGGGAAGCATTCCGACCTCTCCCCAAGCATCAATGTGATCGTGGTGGTACTCTCTACCGCTATAGTCAAATGATGACTCGCTTTCTGGCAACAATCATGCGTTCCATTGATGATCGCCATCCTTGCAAATACCAATTCCCTCTGCTGGAAACACAAGTCGACTTGATCACAGCACTTCATAATAGTCTTAGGGATAACAAGACCAGCTTGTCAGCATTTCACACTGTATGGTATTTCCTCATTGGCGAGCCCTTTGCTTTCACCGAGGTGGACAAGTGGAAATGTCCTGTACTTTGCTGGCTTGCCTTGGCAAGTGTTCGTGAAGATGGTCGCTTTATAGATGCCAATGAATACACACCTCTTCTGGCCGAATGGGAATACCTAATGCGAATCACCCATCTAACACAAGCCTATCGCAACTTTGAAGCTGAATGTCAAACAACTGATATTCGTTCCAACTTTATCACGTATGTATGTATCAGTTTCAATCTAATGATTATACTGATTCTTGAAACTCCTTAGTATATGCTCAGTCCAATTCTCCCAGTTCCTCAAGGAAGGTGTCAACTCTCCCTATAATTCAGTTCGCGAACATCAGCATTTTGCATCTTCCATTGCCAAAAACACAGCAGCAGCTCCTCATATCACATGGTCATCCGATATGACTGAACTGGCATGTGATGGTAATAACCTTCAGCTCTCACGCCTTCGCTTTGGCCTCAATGCCATTGCCCTTGACATTGAAACTCGCATCACCAAACTCATGAATGGCCATATCATTCCAATCAATGTTCCAGACAGTCTAACTGAGAACATGACCAATCGTGATCTAGGCTATGGATGGATGGAGTTGCCCAACTTGCTTGCCAAATCTTTTCCTTTGCTAGAAATCCTTCAAGATCATCCTCACTTCAAGATATGCGAGGTGGAACATAATGGCAAGCTACATTGGATCCATCGTGGAATCATGGCTGTTTTAGCCGAATTCACTGTTATCAATGAAGAGCTGGCCATCTTGTGTCATATGCTTCCAGCACCTCCTCCTCGGGGTACTGAATTGGTCGAAACTCGTATTCGTAATGGCCAAATTCC